GCGCATTGCGTCACCTGTACACAGCGTCTGTATCTTTGGTATATTTGTTCCATTTTGTTGCCGCTCGTACTAGTTCATGTCCTTTTGTTCTACAGAATATAATATTCCGTTTGGTCTCTGTTTCTGTCTTTTGGCTGCCCGCGTCTGGTTTGGTTGGTTTCATTAAAATTGGTTGTATGGTGCAGGACGTTGTGCGGAATACCTGCTGGTTGTGGTGCTGCCAAATCATGGGTGGTTTAACACGAGGATGTCTGGTACCGACAAGCACGTTGCTTCGATGGGCTTGATTTGGTAACTGTAACTTTTGAGTTGTCAAACGATTTCTCGGCTTCTGAATATTACATTGGCGGGCTTGTTCCATGGGTTCACAGTCATTTGTGAAATATCCTTTCCAGAAGGATATTTGGTTAGTGACACGGAACCTTGAGAGGGCGTGTGTGTATTCCAAGGGGATGAGGAAGAGGTACGAGGTTCAGGGATTTCGTGGAACAACCATTTTCGGAAGATCGGCACATGATTTCGTCGAACGGCGCGTCGTTCGGAGATTTGGTTCGATTGGCTTGATGTTTTTTTGTGTGGCTTGATATTGTGAGTGTCCTTTTCTTTTACCTGGCGACACGTGCAGAATTCCTTTCATACTGCAGATAGATCGTTTCGAGTACTGAACAGGGGGCTTTGGGGTATTCGTACTTGACACTGGTCTGCAGGGATTGTGGAGATTAAAGCTGTACGTGGATGCGTGTGTTTGTGGTGATAGGACCGTTGTGCAGGGGAGTCCCTGGCGGGGCTCCTGGCTCTCTGTTACTCTCTTTTACAAATGTCAAGGCCCTGGAGTCAACCTTTCATCCTTTCATCGGGTTCTGACAACAAGCTGTCCGCCTCTAACAAGTCGGCTTACCGCCACTGGAACGAATGAGACGGAAAACAAACAAAAGGCAACGCGAAGATTTCGTATCGTTCCCGCTGAATGAATGTGGCCCTCGATCGATCGACTTATGGGGGAGGGGGGGGAGAGCACCAACCCCACGGTGAAGCTCGTGGGAGCTGAATGACCTCCACATGTGAGAGAAAGCCAATGTGAGGCTAGAACAAATACCTCGCGTGTACAGGAAAGCGGCAGCTGAATCCTTATGGATCTTCTCCGCTGGAGAAAACGAGGACAGGGACCACTAACACACAAAAGCAGTAAATGAAGGCACACAGGAGGGTGGAAAACCCAGGCCCCACCAAAAAACGCTCAAACGAGGGTGGTGAAAATCAGGGACGAGGACGAAAGCACTCCAAAACGAGCTCGCGTTCAAAGCAGCAGCTTTGGAAAAACCGTGTATTTTGTCTTTGATCCGGTGAGTTGTATGAGCCTCCCCCATGACGACCGGTCAAGGGGTCCCAGATCATGGCCTTTGATGAACATTCTTGTTTCCAGCCGCACGGAGACTGACGTGTTTTCATTGGTCAGCCGGCTGGCGAGGTCGACGCCTACAACAAAAACGCACACAATTACGCCCCCGTTCACCCCCCGGTGTTTTGCCATCGGGGTTGGGTTTTCGTCGCTTGGCAACGACGTTGTAAAACAATCCGCCCGCCTCGGTGTTTGCCATCGGGATTGGGTTTTCGTCGCTTGGCAACGCCGTTGTAAAACAAGCCAAGTCACTTCGTGAACTCGGCGACCACTTGACCGTTTTGTACCTCTGGTATCTTTTCGGCGGTAACCATGAATGAAAGTAGATCATGTTGTGCGGGGTCGAGAGCCCTCACTCCGCGCCAGGGGGATGATCGCACCAAGTTGTGTTAAAATGGTAAAGCATCCTCGAGGCAATTACACAGTGCTTACAAGTGTCTCTGGAAGTGAAAGCTCCAGAAAATTAATTAAGCCATTCGCAGCTGTCATTCGTACGCAAGGAAGTAAGCACAAGATTCCGAAACCCTTAGCAGGATGCGGCGCACCCTTCATGCGACTCGCCGAATACCTCACGGCGCTTCGCGCTTGGTGATGAGAGAGCCTGGCCCGGTTGTTAGTTAGTCGTACTCACAGCACCGACAGATTTTTGCAAGCAAGAAGTTTCCGAGCAGATGGAGCGGGGAGTTTGGGAGTTCAGCAGTTGCTTTGGATTAGATTTGGTAGTACCAACTTTGCCGCATATTACAGGATTGAGGGTGGGGGTATGTATATGTCTACAACGGATATATATGATGATTGTGTGTTGTGGCTTCTCACTTGTTTTTCTTTCCTCTTGTTCCTTCTTCCTGTGTGCAATCAAGTCCTTTTTCCCCGGCTATTACGCTACCACGGCTATCACGTCACGACTTCCACGCCAATCCTGACTATCACGCCACCCGGCTATCACGCCTTCCGGACATCCACGTCCTTACATATTCCTTTATACCACGACTATCACGTCACCAGGCTTCCACGCCACATCCAGAGATACCATACCCGAGCTATCACGCTCCATCCCAAAGTAGAAGGCTGTCACGCCCATCAAAGTTCCTACACTGTACCGTTGGCGGCTACCGCGCCGCTGGCGCTTTTATTCCCCAACCAAGGGACCCCGCGCGCCAAGGCACCAACGCACAAAGCTACTCAACACCGGTGAGAACCTGGCGTGCTCCGTCCCGGCTTTGTAGGGATGCGAGGTCAATGGTCTAACGACTAC